GAAAAAATAAGGGGAGCGGGGGTGCAGGCTTTCCCTAAAAATTTTCAGACAAGCAGCATCTGGCCTCAGTGTGCCCCTGTCCACTTGCCTAAATGGCTGCAGGGTTAGTATTAGCAGTAGCCGGCCTTAGTTTCCAGCTTGGCCTCTTCTGGGCACCTCTAATTCTAGCTCAAGTAGTAGCCACCTGCAATTATTTTGTAGCTCATGCTGGGTGGCCCCAGATAGGTGGTAGCTGACCTTGGCTGCATGCACCTCCCAGGAAGCCCCAGAGCCAGTGCACCTGGTGGACAGCTTCAGATCACACTGAAGCACTACCTAACCACCTCCACAAGTGACACACTCTGGGGCAGATTCAGCAGGCACTAGAGCTCCACTGAAGCAGGCCCATCTCTGTGGGGTGGACCCTGTACAGCTGATTCTCCACAGTGGTTGTGGTCATAGCTAGTCCTTGCAGCAAATCGGCCTGGGAGTAAATCCCTCCCATTGATGTGCCAACAGCAATCAAGGATCAACTACAACAGAAGGGTGTATACAGTCCACACAAGATTGTAGAGGGGGACAAGCTGGAGTGCCTAGCTCATGTGACCGTGGAAGTTAAGCCACTAGATTATACAGAACACCTTCTACATTAGGCCACTTTACCAAGTCCAGGAGATGTAATAGCTCTACCTTATACACGGAAACAAACAGGAAGGCTGACAAAAGGAGGAGACAAAGAAACATGTCTGAAATGAAAGAATAGAACAATACAGTCCTCGGTTACGTCAGAGTACATCGTTTCGTGGTTACGTCGCCATCTCCCATTTATTTATATAAAAAAAAAGTTCTGTCATTTCAACGTATGTACATATGTGCTTTATGTTCTTTATTATTTATTTACCACAAGTAAAGGTCAGGAATTGTTATCTTTCTTTTAAACTTTTTTTACTGTTTCACTTCATTACTGCTGTGTATGTGCTCCATGTGAGTGACATAGGTGCTTATGTAGGTGGGTTCCAACTTACAGCGAAAATCGAGTTACATCACACTGTAGGAATGGATCTCCGACGTAACCCGAGGACCTACTGTATAGGAAAAGAACTAAACAAAATGGAGACAAGCAATCTACTATATGCAGAGTTCAAAATACTGGTTATACTAATGCTCAAGGAACTTAGTGAGAATTTCAACAGCATAAAAAAGGATATTGAAACTATAAAAAAGAAATACTCAGAAATGAAGGATACACTAACTGAAATGAAGAATAATTTACAGAAAATCAACAGTAGAGAAGATGAAGCAGAGAATAAAAAAAATGATTTTGAATAAAATGAAGAAAAAATACCCAATCAGAATAGCAAAAATAAGAATACAAACAATGAGGATAGTGTAAGAAGCCTCTGCGACAACTTCAAGCTTATCCACATATGCATCATGGGAGTGGCGGAAGAATAAGAGAGAGTAAGAAATTGAAAACCTATTTGGAAAAATAATGACAGAAAACTCCCCTAGCCTGGTGAAGGAAATAGACACACAAGTCCAGGAAGTGCAGAGATTCCCAAATAAGATGAATCCAAAAAGGATCACACAAACACACATTAGAGTTAAAATGGAAAAGGTTAATTGCAAAGAAAGAATCTTAAAAGCAGCAAGAGAAAAATAGTTATCTACAAGGCAGCTCCCATAAAACTTTCAGCTGATTTCTCATCAGAAACTTCGCAGTCCAGAAGGGACTGGCAAAATATATTTAAAGTGATGAAAAGCAAGGACTTACAAACATGATTACTCTATCCAGCAAAGCTATCACTTAGAATCAAAGGATATATAAAGAGCTTCCTAGACAAGAAAAAGCTAAAGGAGTTCATCACCACCAAACCAATATTACATGAAATGTAAAAGGTTGTCTTTAAGAAGAAAAAAAATTGTCAAAAATATGAACAATAAATACATATCAAAAACTGAATCTAAAAAACACCCAAAAAACAAAACACCAAAATGAACAAGCAGAACAGACACACACTCACGGATACAGAGAATATTTTGAAGGTTGCCAAATGGAAGGGGGTTTAGGGGGAAGGGGTAAAAAAGGTGAAGGGATTAAGAAGTACAAGTTGGTTGTTACAGAATAGTCATGAGTATGTAAAGTATAGCACAGGGAATACAGTCAATAATAATGTAATAACTATGTATGGTGTCAGATGAGTATGAGATTAGGATGATCACTTAGTAAGTTATATTATGTCTAACCACTGGGGTATACACCAGAAAAATAATATGACATTGAAAAAAAAGTGAGAAAATGTGAGTTTACAAAAGCTTTTAGTGCAGTTTAAAAATAATAGTCAATTGCCCAAATGGCATGGCTCACTGGTTGAGCATCAATCTATAAACCAGGAGATCTCAGTTCGATTCTCGGTCAGGGCACATGCCCAGGTTGTAGGCTTGATCCCCAGTAGGGAGCATGCAGGAAGCAGCTGACCAATGATTCTCTCTCATTATTGATGTTTCTATCTCTCTCTCCCTCTTTCTTCCTCTTTGAAATCAATAAAAATATATTTAAAAAAATAAGTCACCCTTTGGAACTTTTTCAAGTAAAATAGATTTCAATATTCAGGTAATTATAACGAACTGATTAAAGATAAAAAAATTACCTACCCTGTTAATAGTATCATCTCATTTAAACACAAAATTCTGCTACCTACCATTTAGACTAAAGCGTATTACTAGTCATCAACGAAAACATATTTAACTAAATGTCCAGCAGAATGAGGTAACTTCTCTGATTAACTAATACCCATAAAGTTTTCCTTTGTCAAAGCCCTTGATATACTGATTAACTTTCCTGATTCAGCATAGTATATAGGATACAAATTTTCACTGATAAAGAAAATATTACAGCTACACTAAACCATCAGTGTAACATCTACAATAGGATCATCTAGATGTAATAGGTTAAGTTTGGGATAATTGGGATTCAATATTCCCCTCACAAGTAATTTTTCTGACTAAATATTCAATACGAACTTTCCTGCGAGTTTTAACTCTCCTAAAGCAAATTACAGAATAAAAATGATGTAGGTGAGAGAGAGAGAGAGAGAGGTGAAAATGGTGGCTGAATAGGCAGACGGGTCCTGCGCCTTTTCCCGGAGCAGACTGAAGGAGCAATTAAATTGGAGAGCATCCATGCGGAATTGGTAAATTGGACACAGCTGGTGAGACAATTTGCAGCTGGAAGGGCAGAATGCGCTTGGAGAATGGTAGGATCGGGGACTTGAGCTAGAGAGAGACACACGACCACCAGGCCAAAATGGTCAGAAGGAAGCTGCACTGCACCAAGTCCGCGTCCCTTGGGGACAGGCCTAACATCCAACTGTGGAAAGGAAGACCACAGGGCTACTTGCGGCTGGGGAATCTAGATCTAAGTCCACAGCTGCGAGGCTGTGCCCAGAAACGCAGCCTGAAGAGCTGCCTGAGCAGTGCAGTGCCGGGAGAGAAACTTGCAGTCCCGTGGTTGTTTTGCCTTGGCTTTTATTCGCTAAGTCCAGTTCATAGGAACTTTCAATTACAAACACTCACCAGAGTCTGCAGTGCCAGTGGAGGTGCAGATTTGTGGAGTCTGGGGAGAGGCTGTGGAGGAAAGCAGGGCAGGGAGAGGTGACCAGGAATTCGGTCCTGAGATATTCATGACCTTCCAAACCTAAGCAGCCATTTTTCTACTGAAGAGCCAGCCCCACCCAGCAGCCTCAAGGCAGCTAATTCAGCCATACCCAGACTACACCTTGAGCTGTACAAACGAAACAAAGACTCTGCATAGTCCCAAAGAGCCCTCAGAGACTGGATTGAAGAAGGGCCATTCAGTCTGGACAGTGACAACCACCTAAAGCCCTGTCAGAAACAGACACTTGAGTGATTAAGATTGACAGCAGGCAGACTTGCAAAGCGGGCAGATTTGACCCACCTGCTTGCAACCAAGGCTGTGGAGACAGACACAGAGGAGCGGTGGATTGCTTGGAACCTAAATACAGTGCTATCTAACAGGAAACTGAGAAATGTCAGACAGAACAGAAGAGTGGGGTCTTAAACCAGCCCCACTGGGCCAGTAAAACTTGGTTGAAGCAAATGACACTTCACTTTTTTTTCAATCTTTTATTAAAAAAATTTTTTTGTTTATCTTTTATTGTATTACTTTTCTTCATTCTATTTTTGTTATTTTATTTTTATTTTTCCATCCTTTTCTTCACTTTTTTTTTATTATTTTTTATTTTTTTATTTTTGCTAAAAGTATTACAAAGGGTATTACATAAGTGTCCTTCCCCCCCCCCCCCACCCTTGACAAACCCCTGCCCTCCCTTACCCCCCAGTGTCTTATGTCCATTAGTTATGCTTATATAGATGCATACAAGTCCTTCCGTTGATCTCTTACTCCCCTCCCTCCTGTCCCCCAACCCTCCCTGGCCTTCCCACTGCAGTTTGACAATCAGTTTGAGGCAGCTCTGCCTCTGTATCTATTATTGTTCAAAAGTTTGTAATGGTCTTTATTATCCATGAATGAGTGAGATCATGTGGTATTTTTCCTTCATTGACTGGCTTGTTTCACTTAGCATAATGCTCTCCAGTTCCATCCATGCTGTTGCAAATGATAAGAGTTCCTTCTTTTTTACAGCAGCATAGTATTCCATCGTGTAGATGTACCACAGTTTTCTAATCCATTCATCTACTGATGGGCACTTAGGCTGTTTCCAGATCTTAGCTATGGTGAATTGTGCTGCTATGAACATCTGGGTGCATATATCCTTTCTGATTGGTGTTTCTGGTTTCTTGGGATATATTCCTAGAAGTGGGATCACAGGGTCAAATGGGAGTTCCATTTCCAATTTTTTTAGGAAACTCCATACTGTCTTCCATAGTGGCTGCACCAGTCTGCATTCCCACCAGCAGTGCACAAGTGTTCCTTTTTCGCCACATCCTCTCCAGCACTTGTCGTTTGTTGATTTGTTGATGATGGCCGTTCTGACAGGGTGTGAGATGGTACCTCATTGTTGTTTTGATTTGCATCTCTCGGGATGATTAGTGACTTTGAGCGTGTTTTCATATGTCTCTGTGGCTTTCTGAATGTCCTCTTTTGAAAGGTGTCTATTTAGCTCCTTTGCCCATTTTTTGATTGGATTGTTTATCTTCTTTTTGTTAAGTTGTATGAGTTCCTATAAATTTTGGAGATAGGCCCTTATCAGATATGACGTGGCAATATGTTT